TATATATATAAAATATTTCTTTCTTGTTAACTTTATTTAAGTTGTTTCTGGCCAGAATTTAATTTTGTTATTCGTATCCTAAATTGTCAATTAATAACGTTAATTATTAAATTTTTCTTCACTAAATCCTTTACGCAACAGCCAGCAACTATCCCTGGTAGCGCCCGGATTTGGAGGGTACATATTTAATACTTTCTCCCACCAGCGTCTACGAAACACGGCTCGTATCGATCGAGAAGACCAACAACGTAAGACAATGACATGTCACGGGTGGAAGTGGAAGCAAATCTGTGTCAGACAATTGAGGAACTGTCAAACACTCTTAACCAACCTTGGTCAAGCATCTAAGAACATTTTCAGAAGATTGGTAAAGTAAGCGGAATAGGTGTTTGGGTCCCGCATAATCTGTCTGAAGAAAACAAAGCTAACCAATCTACCATATGCAACTTATTGCTTCAGCGGCACAGTACATTTTTTTGATCACTTGATCACTGGAGATGAAAAATTGGTCCTCTATGATAATCAAAAATGCAAAAGGCAGTGGCTCTCTATGAATGAATCGCCACGCATTACAGCTAAACAAAGTTTACACCTCAAAAAGGCGCGTTTGTGTTTTATGGAGTATTCATTGGGTCGTTCATTTTGAAGTGCTAAAACCCGTACAAACTGTGATTACAAACCTTTACAGTGAAAATTAAATTGAGTAAAGTAATGTTAATTGAATAGTGCGATTGTCAACAAAAAAGGCGTTATTCTGCAACAAGATAATACAAGACCACACTGCACATGACGAACCCTGGCAAAAATTAATGAATTGGGGTAGGAGGTATTGCCTCACCCTCCATACTTGCCCGAAATTGCACCATCTGATTTCCATTTATTTCGATGGCTACATTTTCTACGTGACAAAAAATTTGAAAAGTTGGATGATGTCCAAAATGCTATCCCTAGATATTTTGTTCAAAAACCAATGGATTTTTATTTTTCCAGCATTAATATTTGTACGCTAGATGGCAAAAGGTTGTTGATAACGAGGGTGATTACAACATTAATTAAAAACTTGTTAAAAATGTATCTGTCTGAATTTAATGGAAAAAAACGACATTACTTTCCAATCCCCCCAGTATATATGGTTAATGTACATACCAGGTGGTATATCGGCTAAGTGTAAATTACCAGAATTATTTTCCCTGTAGTAAACCAGGCCTCTTGAGACTGGAGGATCCAAAAAACTTACTCGTTTCTTCTGTTGAAAATTGTTATCTCAATCACTCATGACATTAATTATATTTAATTCTATTTTTTAATTTTTATTAACACTGACCTTTGGAGTAGTTGAAGCAGTTTCTTGATTATCTTCTGCAAACTGTCTGAATTTCTTGTTTGTAGTCTCATTTGTAGGTGTATTCTTTAAGAGACCTTTAGACGGGCTCTTACTAGGAGTTGGAATGTGAGCAATCCACTCTTCAGATGGCCCCTTAGGCCAACTATAATCAAAACAAAATTATGCCTTTAAAATTTTTGATTACGATCAAATTTATAAGTCATAAGTATATTTTTAAATAAAAATGCTATTGTACCCAATATACTTACTTTTCACCGTAGGTTAGTGGTACGATGCTCTTTCTTTTTCGTACGTTTGATATGGGCGTGATTTCCTTGGCCAGTCTCATCATTTGTGCTCCGCGACTGTTGGACATAGGGCTGGTCATTGAAACAGGGCTACTTATTTTGCTGCCAGCATCTGCGGTACTTGCTATGAGAAGCTTTGCAGTTTCATCATTTTCGAGTACAGACGATAACAGCCTCACACCCCGGCTTAGGATATAGGAAGGTTTATCTGAATTGGATTCATTAGATGTGATGCTGGGATTTTCAACGGGCTTGGCTGGGGATTCAATAACCTTATTACTTTCATGCTCAGAGGTAAATTCAGTTTGATTTACTGCAATGTCCTTAACCGGGGAAATATCTTCTGCCTCCATATCCGACATAACAGTATTGTCAATATCTTCTTGTTTCATTTCTTGAACTAGATGGGTTTTCACAACTGTTTTGCCACTTTTTAATAACCACTGTTCTAAATTGTTCGAAGTTGGGCTTACATTACCGTTTGTTTTTACCAACCTTTTCCTTCTAAGGGGTCGTAACAAGTTTCGCTTCTTAACGGGTGTCTGCATCTGTGTAGTGTCTTCATTTTCGATCTTGGACATTTTGGCATCCTGATTTAATGTCAAATCTAGGCTTTTCCTTTTATCTTTTTTAAGCTCAACTCCAGTTTTAACCAGATTTGATTCTAAATCATCATCTAATTTTTGGGAATCGTATATAATATCATCACTGTCTTGACTTGATATTTCTCTTTCTGTTGTTTCTATGTCCGTTTTCTTATCTCCATTACATACTTGTTTATTTTCATTTGTCGTATCAATTAAGTTACCTGGTGGACTAGTTTTAATTTCAATTTCTGTCATCTCTTCTTGGAAAATCACACTGACTTCAATCTTTTTATTACTTTTGTCTTCTGATAAAATAACACTTTCTTTTTTAATGTGTTCTTTGTTTTCTGGAGATTTGTCATTGAAATCATCATCTGTTGTAGTTGAGCCGAGGTTTTCCTCACTTGACACAACTTCAGTGTTTGTTATTGAAACTTTCTTCTTCAGATGGGAATCAGGCGTTTTAAGTGAGATACGTTTACTTCTTAAAACCTTTGGACTTACATTTATTGAATTGTTCTTTTTTAGCCTTTTATGTTTTATTTTATCATTTTCATTTTCACCATTTAATTTCGTTGTATCACTCATTTCTAACGTAGTATCTTTCAGTTCTGTGTCACTTTTTTCATCTGAATTGCTTTTACATTTTTTTAACATTGAGCCTGTTCGAATAGTATTATTTTTGGCCTTATCAGAGTCTCCATTCGGTTTATCTGGACATCGTTTCGGTGTCCACTTGACTGGTTCGCTTTTTCTTTTCTTGGCTGATTTAACTGAATTATCCTTATTTATACAGTTATTTTCATGGATTGAATTTTCTTCTACTTCTTGTGACATTTCCTGAGTGATATTTGTTGAAATTTCTTTGGAATCTCCTGTAAGATCTGTCATTTCTGTTTGAGTAATATTTTTGTCAGAATCACTTTTGTTATTTTTATTGTTTTCCTCCATACATAAAGCATTGGAATTAGGCTGCAAACTTGAAGAATTTCCATCTGAATTTTCTAGAATATTGTCAATTTTTCTTTTTTTTCTTTTAGGCTCTAACGATGTTTCACTATTGGCCCTAAAAACAGCATAATTTAGGGTTTCTAAAATTTTCTATTGACAAAACATAATATTAAAAATTAAATAAAAATGGAATTTATAACTATACCTAGTAACCCTTTGTGTTCTTTTCTTCTGCACTGGGCTTTGAATTTCTGTTATTACCAATTTTTCTTCTTCGTTAAAGACAAGCTTTTTAGCCGATGAATTCATCAAAGGTGTTAAATTTACAGTGACAGAGGCTTGTTCATCAAGAGTCTTTTCAGTGTTGGTTTCTTTACGAACAGGGGTCATTTCGTAAGGCATTTCTTTCTGCGATTCTGAATTTTCTGATTCTTTTAGATAAGAGCTAGAGAATAATATTTTGTTTAATATTACAAATTGACAAAACAGTTCCGACTATTTTACCTCGTGTTTTGAGTATCTTGCGAAAGGTCTTGATAAAGAGCTGGGATATCAGATCTTCTTTTTGAAAAGACTTCCTTTTGGTGTTCTGTCAGGACCCTTTTCTTTTGCTTGGGCGTGACCATCACATAATCCTATTTTATTTTTAAATTTAAATAATTAAAAAACAATACAAAAAACAATATTGCGACAAACTTACTGATGCATCTTCATCAAAGTATGTACATTTGCTTGGGGTTGTCCGTTTTGGAGTTACATTTTTAATCCCTGCTACTACTTTAGGCGATTTCTTTGTTATTGGTATAGTCTGCGGGGACAGATTCTTTATCTAAAAAATAATTATAATTATGAAAAAAAACCAGTAAATATAATTAATTTAATATTTACCTGATGAGGTTGCGAGGTGACATGAATTTTACTCGGTGTCACTAATACTGGAGACGGGACTGTTACATGATAGTTTATAGCACCATCATTTTCTTTTTCCACCTCATTTGAAGGTTTGTCAATAGTTTCTTTAATACTATTTGAATACTGTACGACTGGCTCGTTCTTTTCTTGAAACTCCTTGATTAAAAAAAATATAAATGTTCGTTTTTAAGATCTATGAATCTTTTTTTGACTTGATCGTTAATGATCATTCCCGTATGTGTAACTCATTGACTGCAGAGCCTGAATAGGGGAAAGCCTTTGAAATGTACAGGAAGTGGCGTCTCATAAATGAGTGCTCCGTAGTCCATGTACTAATCTTGCATCTTGCCGGGTTTGTCTGGCACAGCCAGAGAAAATAAGCAGACCGGAATGATCACAGACAATCAAGATACAAATTAAATATTTTATAAATTTATGAATTTTCCTTATTATTTAACCTTTTTGGGATTAATGACAAAATCCCATTTAAGCCTGGACGCTGACTGTGAAGAGTTATTTCGTCCTCACGTTTTTTTTCCCTTTTAAAAGCACTAGTTGGACAGCCATGAAAATTGGGCTGATGATTTGTACAATGTGTAGAAGGCACCTTGGTAGTGAATGGAACCCACCCTTCCTTTCCCATCCTCATCATCAGCAAACCACTTTTCTCCCCCTTGCACACACGACTGACAAAATCTGGCCTCTCTTAAATTTTTTGCAAAATTGTAACATTCCTTTTTCTGATATTACGTTCGATCACATTTACATCTCACGAATGTCCTATTTTGTCAACCTTTTGCCCTGCCCACCCGAACTATCTACTCAATTGTGTTTCTCAGTTTTAATTTTGCATACGCTCTCAATACTTTTCAGAATATATTTTTGTTTTGTTGTCAAAAAACAAAACAAAAAACCTCAAATAAATAATTTCTCATCAAACAGGAAGGCTAACGTCCAACTACCCACCCACTGGGTGTCATGAAGAGGAGGCAAAGCACTCTACAATGCGCTTTTCATACTATAATCCACTAAAAAACCATGGACTGCTAGTTTTCAAACCCAGAATCGTGGCAAATACGATTCGGACTCTTTAACCACTCAGCCTCTGCATGCCCCTTGTCCTTATATATATTTTTTCCACTCGTTAGCATTTATGTACTTACATATGGATATTGAATTTAAAATATCAGTAATTAGTTTTTTTTAAATAAAATAAATTTTCAATTACAACGTTGGTTTTTCTCCTTACATTTACTTTCATTGTAACCTATAAAATCTGAAGAATTTACCGTCAAATTTTGAACGAAATCAATGCACCATAAAAGGAGTAAGAGCGATTCGAAAACTCTATGTATATTGTAAATTAAATTAAAATGAATTAAAGCTAGATGGAGGGGGGATGTCATGCAGCAACCGAGGATATAAAATCTCAAAATCAGTCCCGAAAAGATTAATACTGAAAAAAATATTTGGTATTTAAAAGGAGGGAAAACTTATAAGGTGGGGTTGAGATGGGAAGTTGATGTCCGAGTGGATCGAGGTCACGATAGCACAAGTGGTAGAGCAGCGGCGTATCTAGCCGAAGATCGTGGGTTCGAATCCCGCTCATGCCATTAACTTTTTTTCATCTCAACTAAAAACCTTAATTAATTGTAATGTATTTAACGTTTATAATAGGAAAAAAAAGCTCCAAGAGTGGAATTGGTTGCTAGTAACTAACCTGCAAGACTTTTTTAACATTTTCTTCTGCAACTTCAGATCCTTTTGTTGGAGTTTCGTTTGTAGCAGGTTCATTTTCTTTCTTTTTCTCATTGCAAGTGTCAATTGGAGAAAATAGGGTTGACAACGAACATTTCTTTATTGCGTTTTTCTCCTCAGCTTTAGCCAACCTATGAAGGAAATTGCTCTGGCTGATAAAAGACGACCGGATTTTTGTTTGCTGCTCGATATCCGGGGATGAGCTGTCATCTTGTACATCACCACTTAACATTAACTTCCTGTGTAGCTTTAAAATCTACAGGGGGAAAAATAAGAAAAATAATAAGAATTCTATGGCCACAATGTTTCCAATTTCCTTACTTTTGTTTTGATTTTATGTTGTTGGAGTTGATCGCAGGTGTGTAATTTCTGATTTAGCAGCCTGAAAATACTGGACTTTGATGCTATTCCAATCGCAATTTCAACCAAATATAAAACATCCATAATCTGTTTACTATCATTAGAAATATTTTCAGAAATGCTCTCCAATAAAGGTATTACATTTTTAATCACTAAAAAATATACATTAATGACTGGAAATATTGAATAATAAACTAAATTATAAACTAAGGAAATAATTTGTAATTACAATTTTTATCTATGTTTGATAAATTTGTTACAGACTCTAGGACAATAGGTATTGTGATGTCTGATGAGTTTAATTGGTTTTCAAGAAAACTTATCAATTTGTCTGCCGTGAGGAGTTCATATTTATATAAATTCTCACAAAAAGTTATCCATAACCTGTTTACTGCACTTGACCACTGGAATTTTTTACCAAATGTTAGTCTGACACGTGTAATTATTATTTTTCAAACAATTACAAACCATGTTGGGGGATAATGGAAAAATTATTAAGGAAAATATTAACTCTTCGTCATCTTTTATTTGTACGCTTTTATGTTTTGTTATCCATGACATCATTATAGAACAAATTGCATCCCAAACTCCCAGTAAGTCTTCATTTTTCGTTTCTCTAAAAAAAAAAAAGAAAAAAAAAGGGTAATGTTAAAAAAAAAAAAAAGATGAACATATCAAAAATAAATACTTACACTACGTTCTGTGTTTTATGTTTTGTGATAAAAGATTTAGCAAATGGCATAAATATGTTATTTTTGAAATCATCGATATCCATCAGAGATGATAAACTATAAAAACAAATCAGGGTATTGATTAACATATATATTAAAAAAAAGCAACTTGTTAAAACTTACAATGCAGTTGGTATTTCATTGCCTTCTACACAATACCAAAGGAAATCAACTGACATGATTGAGACTATTTTTCTTTTGATCTGCTCAACTGGAAAATTACAATTTTCCAGTTTTCCCATACACTTCTGCGCCTGCTTCACTAGTTCTTGGAGGTGGTTGTTATATTTGGCACCCTCAAAAGACTTGATCATCTCAATTATTTTATCGATCAAGTTCATGAATTCATTATGGTCCAACTTGAATTCTACGCAATTTGAAAGCACAGCGATGATATCATAGCTATATAACTGTCTGATATTCTTGTAGCTCAAGAGTTTCTCCAAAGAGAAGATGCATTCATTAGGGTGCATCTTTGCCAAGGAATCAGGTCCTTTTTGATACATGTAAGTTATAAAAGGTTTAACAATTGTCAAAACGCATTCCTCGTGCAATACACCTATTTTTTCTACAAGCATGTTCCAAGTCTAGAAAATAAATCAACAATTAATACATAAACTTCAAGTAATAAGGAATGTGCTTACTTTGATTTTCAATTCGAATGTTTTTGGCTGTAATGTTGTTGCGAGTGGTTTGACCAAAAGCCCGACCAGTTTTTTAGAAGGCATCACTCTCGGATGAAGAGAGAATATCTCAATGAGCTCCATCCAGCACGTATATGCTTGGTCCACAATTTCCATATTTTTTTTTGACATCTGGGTAAATCGATTCGTTAAAATAAACATGTATGTGAATGAAGTAAAAATGATTTGTATGTACCTTGAATGCCGTTTCAACTATTTTTAATAAAGCATTTATTGCTGACCCATTAACGTGAGCACCGTTGATCATCAAATTTGCGACAAATGACCAATTGTTCACCCAACTGGTATCATTGTTTTCAAGCCCCTTAATCATTTTTGGCTGAAAGATACTAAACAAACAAAATAATTTTTTAATTAATATTTTTACTTGCTAATCTTGATTGTTAAGTGGTCTTGTTTATTTTATATTCAAGCATTGCAAGAAAAATTTATATTTAAATTTAAATTGTCTCGAAGGCAGTGAGGGCATCACAGTAGCTGAGGTTAGCGGGATAGACTCCCATGGTTGTCGGTTCACTTCCTGCTGTCGCCCCCGGCCCTTTTTTTCATGTAATCCCCCCCCCCTTAAAAAAGTAATAAATACGCATTGCATAATTTAAAAAAAAGTCTTTGACTTAAGATTAGCACATTCATCATTTTTAAAAATTAAGGGACTGCAGTGGCCAAGTCGTTCTACTCATATTTGGTCCTGGATTCGAATCTGACGTAGCCATTGGATTTTTAATTGTTGATAATATAGAGAAATGTGATCCTTCATCCAGGGATACCCAAAGGATAGTTGGACGTTACACCCTCCTGTATGACAGGAATTACTTTACTTTTTTTTAAACTATTCATTTTTGAAAATTATTTAAACAAGCAGATTGCCATGTTTATAAACACAGAATGCAAAGGAATAAGATTCACAATGTTTGTGGGATAAATAAAAATTATATATGTATTTAGTACTCATAATTGACCGCATTAATTACTTGAATTAATTATACTTTTCATCTAAGGTCTTGGTTGATGAAAAAGCTAGTGCCACAAGCAAGATTCAAAGTTTTCAGACCTTTGGGTCAATACGCCACTGCTCTAACCACCTGAGCTTTTAGAGCAGTGGCGAATTGAGCTGAAGTTAGTGGTTTTAAGCTTTTTTCATCTCAGATAATAAAATGGGCAATTATGACCGCTAAACATATATGGATTAATATAATAATCAAACAAGCAATTACTTCGCTACCTGGCCACTTCATAAGTCGCTGAGAATCGAATCTTGGTTACATGGCATTTGAAAAATGGCAAAAAGATTCAATAGGTTTTAGGTTGAGATGAGGAGTTGATGTCAGAGTGGTTATATCACTCTTGTTTTAATGTCTGTAGAGACAAATACTTTCCAAATTTTCGGTGAGTAATTGGAGGAAAGGTACAGAAAATATGGCTTACGATTTACATCAATCATAAATAAATGCAAGTAGAACTGAGGTGAAAATGTAGTTGATATTTTGTCGAAGGGGAGGTGTAAAAAAAAAAAGATAACAGATAATTAAATTTGTTTGATTTCTTAAGATAGTGCTGTCTGGTGTACTGTTTGAATACAAATTTGCAATCTTTCGATATTTTCTCAAGAACAAAAAAATTCTGTTTAAATTCTTGTTTTAAACAAGATATCGAAAGATATTAATTGGTCAAGCAGACCACGAAAACTAGTGGTTGTAAACAATTTTTAATTTAATACACTACTAATTGCAAAGCAGGACATAATACATATTCTGTATCATTTTGAAACGTTGAATAACTGGTATGCTACATGTAGAAGTCCTAAAGCCCAAAGTCAAAGTTCTGGCTTTTCTTGAGAATTGTAGCATTTCGAGAAAGTTCAGTTAATTGTCCAGAGAAAAATGGAAAATTAAGAACTTTAAAAAAAAATATGCAGAATATTTTCCAATAGAGTGTGTTGAACTGAAAAATTGACAAAATCCTACTGAGACCTCATTAACAATAATCCAAATATGTTTAGAAGTCATAATTGACCGTATTAATTATTTCAATTATTTATTCTTTTTATCTAAGGTCTTGAATGAGATGAAAAGGTCAGCGTCACATCATCCCCCAGATACCAGTCCTCATCTCGTGACACTAATTTTTCATCTCAACCAAAAACCTTAGATAAAAATAAAAATTAATCAGAATATGTGTGGTGATTAGTGACCGTTAATCAATAATTATTCAGAAATCGTGAGATGCGGTCTGGTGCGATGTAGGTTTCAGAAAAACATTTTCTTTATCGTGCCAACGTTTTGATCTTTATTGAGATCATCTTCAGGGCCTGGGATTTACAAACATTGTTTACATTTAACAAACACATTTAGGATGTGGAAAAGTGAATTTATACAATGCAAAATATATTTTTATATATTCAATTTGTTAAATGTAAACAATGTTTGTAAATCCCAGGCCATGAAGTTGATCTCAATAAAGATCAAAACGTTGGCACGATAAAGAAAATGTTTTTCTGAAACCTACATCACACCAGACTGCATCTCACGATTTCTGAATAATTAATCAGAATAAGTAATATGGTAAATTATGACCACTAAACAAATATGGATTAATTTAATAATTAAAAGAAGTAATTATTTTACAAATGGCTCCCTGTGGCCACTTCATAAGTCGCTGAGAATCGAATCGTGATTACGCTACATTTGAAAATATGGCAAAAGAGGGAAAATTTGAACGGTGGTAGGGTGAGATGAGGAGTTGGTGTCAGGGGATTGAAGTAATGATTGCTCAAATGGTTTGAGCAGCGGTGTATTGAGTCATTCATTATACTAAATTTTTCATCTCAACCTAGACTAGGTAAAAAATACAATTAATTAAAATAAAAATTATCTTGGACAAGAACAAACTTGTCACATAATGTCAAATCCATATTTTTTACTTTGTATTATGCAGAAAATAAAATGATATAGTCTATCTAGTGTCTGGTATGGATCTGTCCTTGCCGATGACTTGTCAGATATGTCAGAAGACTGTCGAGTCCAGGTGCAAGGATTGACAAAACAATAAAAGTTGATCCAAATAATTTGAACACGTAGAAAAGTAGTGAAATAGTGAAACTTACTTGCTGACAATGTTTGTCTCCAGATCTTTCCACCAAGGTTCTGCCCTTATGGACGGATTCGCGATGAGGACGTTCTTAAGCGTGTCGAACGTCTGTTGTATAGCTTTTTTCGTATTTGGATCCGCTTCGACCGACAGGATGATAAGTCTAGGCAAAACTAGTTTAAAATCTTTGACCAGTTTCTTTTTAACTGCATCCCCTGGTGAGACGAGGACTTTCAGGTCTTCCTCCAAACCAGCGTAGACGTTCTCGGAGCTCTTTAAGTTTTTGACGAGCCTGTTGTAAATTTCCATTTTCCTCGCCTCCGAGAGCCTTTCGACGCGAATAAGCAAGCCGTCCGGTATGACAGTCTTTTAATACTGGCCGAAAGTGTTAATCCTGCAAAGCCGGGCTAGTGAGTCGTAAGGGAAGAGTTGTCAACATAACATCTTACGAAGGCTAGGCGAAATTTCGTTAACATAGTTCAGATCGTGTTGAATCGTTGTTGGATCCGCACGGTACTCATAAAGGTGAAAATACTGTAATAGCAATGACGAATAGTGTTAAAAATGGAATGTGTAACTATCGCTTAACAGGAGTGAAGGAAATGACACGGGAATAGGGTTATGGCGGGAAAAATAAGGTTAAAACGCGGATGAGCGCTCTATCCAACAGCTGTTTCCAACCTGATCTCTGACGGAGTGAGGCAGTCTCTAACTTAAGGATGAAGAATATAGTACACGGTCAGCATATTCGCCTTACTGTAATAGTATTATTTTTGGTAAACAAATAACATTTTATGATGTTTTATGCGTGGAAATGTTTTACACTTTTGATGTTTTCTTCTTAGAAATTACAAATCTTGATTTCTGAAATATTTCTAGTCTCTAAATTAAGGATGAAGAATATAATACACGGTCAGCATATTCGCCTTACTATAAAAGTATTATTTTTAGTAAACAATAACATTTTATGATGTTTTATGTGTGGAAATGTTTTACATTTTTGATGTTTTCCTCTTAGAAATTACAAATCTTGATTTCTGAAATATTTCTAGTTTCTAACTTAAGGATGAAGAATATAGTATGTACACGGTCAGCATATTCGCCTTACTATAAAAGTATTATTTTTGGTAAACAAATAACATTTTATGATGTTTTATGCGTGGAAATGTTTTACACTTTTGATGTTTTCCTCTTAGAAATTACAAATCTTGATTTCTGAAATATTTCTAGTTTCTAAATTAAGGATGAAGAATATAATACACGGTCAGCATATTCGCCTCACTATAAAAGTATTATTTTTAGTAAACAATAACATTTTATGATGTTTTATGCGTGGAAATGTTTTACATTTTTGATGTTTTCCCCTTAGAAATTACAAATCTTGATTTCTGAAATATTTCTAGTTTCTAACTTAAGGATGAAGAATATAGTATGTACACGGTCAGCATATTCGCCTTACTATAAAAGTATTATTTTTGGTAAACAAATAACATTTCATGATGTTTTATGTGTGGAAATGTTTTACATTTTTGATGTTTTTCCCTTAGAAATTAAAAATCTTGATCTTTGAAATATTTTTAGTCTCTAACTTAAGGATGAAGAATACATATAGTACACGGTCAGCATATTCGCTTTACTATAAAAATATTATTTTTGGTAAACAAATAATAACATTTTATGATGTTTTATGTGTGGAAATGTTTTACACTTTTGATGTTTTCCCCTTAGAAATTAAAAATCTTGATTTCTGAAATATTTTTAGTCTCTAACTTAAGGATGAAGAATTTTTATAGTGTGTAGTATTTATTGACCATTAATTAATGATTATTTAGAGATCATGAGCTGCGGTCCGTTTGAGTAAGCTTAGAAAAACTTTTTCTTTGTCAGGCCAATGTTTCGATATTTACAATTAATTAAGGTTTTTTTAGTTGAGATAAAAAAGTCAATGGCACGAGCGGGATTCGAACCCACGATCTTCGGCTAGATACGCCGCTGCTCTACCACTTGAGCTATCGTGACCTCGATCCACTCGGACACAACTCCCATCTCAACCCCACCTTTGAATTTTCTCTCCTTTTTGCGTTTTGATCTTTGTTGAAATCTATCATCTTCATGGCCTGGGATTTATAATTGTTATTATAATTACATTAATTGTTTATAATTGTTTAAATTATACAAATTGTCTATAAGATATGTCTATAAATTTATACAATGATGTACACAATATAGAAATTTTAGGTTTAATCAAAGAATTTGTCTCACTCAAGTGTGTGCAAACTGCTGCTAACAATAATGTAGTAAAAACGTTTTTTTGCTTTTTTATCCCAATTATTAATAATAAATAATAGAATAAAGATATGATAAGAAATATCGACCTGCAGATAATCTATGCAGGGTTCCAATTTTCGTAGAGGTTATTAGACAGGTGAAAAAAGAAAAGGTTCACCGAGCTTTCAGCACCTTATAGTGCCATCTCAGGGCTTATTTTATTACAAATTCAAATAAATACACAGTAACAAACAATTAACAATTAATGTAATAAAATGATGTACATATTTTCCCAAGGATGAAGAAAACGATTAACATGAAAAAGTTTATAGTAAATTAAATGAAAAACGTTAAAGCTAAGGAGCACATGGCCAGATTATTCCCAGCTACATACTCGCAATCCAATAGTTTTAAAATTACATTGTCAGCCAATTGTACGCTTCCACTATAAATATGTGTGAATACTTTTTGCTGGTGTGCGATTGGCAGGCACGTTAAAAAAATGATCTACTTAACCAATTAGGTGATATGAAACTTGCTTAGTGCTTATTTTTGATACCCTAAAGCCATATTAGAAAAGCTATTTAAACGACCAATGCTGTAGAGGCGTGCATCATCAATTTAGAAAATTAACTAAAACTAAAGGGGCGTTTTCTAACGAATATAGTTTATTAAAATTACTCTGTATTGACATCAATTCTATGTAGATATGTCACTGTTGTGTGTCATATTGAGAGTGTTAATGAGATGTTAATGTCTTTTGTTTATAATGGAACATATATAAACAAAAACCAAAATCTCACTAACACTCTCAACACGACACACAACAGTGATACATTTAGTGAAAACACACTTTGAGTGAATACAAATACTTTGATTAAACGTAAACTTTTTATATTTTATACATAATTGTATAAAATCATATTCATATCTTACATTTATTTGTATCATTTAAACAATGTTTATTAATCCCAGGCCAAGAAGATGATTTCAATAAGGTTGGCACAATAAAGGAAATGTTTTTCTAAACCTACATCACACCAGACCACATCTCACGATCTCTAAAAAATCTTTATAGTACACAGTCAGCATTCTCTAACTTAAGGATGAAGAATACAGTACACGGTCAGCATATTCCCCTTCCTATAAAAGTATTACTTTTGGTAAACAAATAATAACATTTTGTGATGTTTTATGCGAGGAAATATTTTACACTTTTGATGTTTCTCTTAGACATTACATTTTGTAACAAAAAATCCGAAAAAATCTTGATTTCTAATGTATTTTTAGTTTTTAGTATTGAAAGAAAAATCATTTGTGATTTAAAAGCTAACTAAAAGTTGAGACATAATTGTAATTGACTGATGGTTCATAATTTATTTTTATGATTATAATTGTTTTTATATTAAATTTTTAAAAGAAAAAACCTGCTACCCACCAAAAAGATAATTAGTTAATTTAATAATAGCCTGTTTGTAGGAGAATTTTGTTTGTTTATTTTTTTCTTGGAAGGGGAGTCAAATAAAGATTTCAACCTATTGTAGAACTCCTAACTTATAACCATATTGTAGAAAGTGTGCTTTTCTCACAAAACTGAGAGCTTTCCTTGGTGCTTCTTTGTGATTTTCTCTTAGTGTAAAAATTGCCTTATTGAAGTGATCATATTGTACCTGGGCATGCTTCACATTCATAAAGGATGTGTCTAATTTCTGAGCTTGCCTCATACTTAGTGCTTTTGTCAAGTTTTTCTTTCTCAAGCCATTTATCCATCCCCAGCTTTAGGACGCTCTCTAGTGCATCTGATTGTGGTTCTGGTCCTATGGGTGAGAGGGATGCCCATTTTTGACTAGTTGGTCGGCCTGTCCATTTCCTTTCTATATCTTCATATATGGAATTGGTGTTACTTGAAAAAAATGTCCAAAATGTAAAATAACTTATCAGTTCACTCTTGAAATGTATCTGTACGATATATGTATATACATAAAAATGAACACCATTATTGAGATGATCAAATATCAATAGATCAAATTCTAACTAAAATGGCCAAGTAAAAGCTAGTTGTTCAGTACTGTGAGATTTCCTCCTGTGGTCTGCGGGGTATGAACCTATAATTTGATCCTTACCGATCATGTTGGTTTCCCTATTCTCAGTGGGTTGGTCTGTCTTGTACTATCATCTACAGATCAACCAAGCGAAGATAGACAGACCGCAATGATTGGTAAAGATCAAATTTTATTTCCAAATTATTGGTCATATTCTTTACATTCATTGTTTTTGAACTCAGTTGCCCACTGTTTAAGTACCATTTTTCTAGGTTGAATATAAAATCTATAAGACCATATATAAAAAGGAAAGTGAAAATGACAAAAACCGTTCTGAAACTAACCCCACTCCTAAAATCTTCTATATTTGATTTAAGAAAACTAACAATAATTATGATTGCAAAATTGTCTATGTGTTGTGCTCTTGTTATGTATTTTTGGCAAGCCAACCATCCTAGCTAACTGCTCCTCACTGTCGATATGTGTAGACAAGAAATTTTTATTAAACTTTATAATATAATATATTATTTTGAATAAATTCAAGTTCAAATAAATCTTGGCCCTTTCAGGTCATACCGAGGCCTTCCACAGGGGAAATACTGAGCCCTATGTTATACTCCATTTATGTTTACAATATTGAAGAATGTTTTCCACAAGGAATTGGTATAAAACAATTAGTGATGACATCTGTCTCTATGCCAAGCACAAGACAATCGAATCATGTTTAGAAGTCTTAGATGAGCGAGTTCACACATTTCATGCATGCTTTAATATTTTGTCATCTTCTGTGTTGGTTTCTGTATATGTAAAGTGCTTAAGTTATTTAACACATTTTTCTTATTAATTTTTATAAAATATAAAACCAAAAATGATTATTCGGAGATCATGAGATGCGGTCTGGTGTGACGTAGGTTTTATTGTACCAACGTTTCGATCTTTATTGAGATCATCTTCAGGACTGAAAGTGTTTGTTTTCTGCGTAATTGTGCCATTCTTGTGTGTCGTGTTGAGAGTGCCCAGGCATAAATTCATTTTGTCACATCCTACATGTATTTGTAAACTTTAAACAACATTTATAAATCCCAGGCACTGAAGATGATCTCAATAAAGATCGAAACGTTGGCACGATAAAGAAAATGTTTTCCTAAAACCTACGTCACACCAGACCGCATCTCACGATCTCCGAATAATCTTCGACTAACGGTCACTAATCACCACACAAAACCAAATACTTTTAAATTTCTGTGTCGTTCCAGCTAGAAACGACAGTTTAAAGAAAATTAACCATAAAATAAATTTCAGTCTGATTCCCAGGTTGAAAGTAGGAAGTTTCTTATGTATTTATCTTCTTAGACTCCATCATGACGGATTAAACAGTATTTCCGTTGGAGGGAGGAGGAAGAAAGAGGAAAATTCAAACATTGTCTG